CGCGTCTGTAACCTTTTATCTGGCCAACAACATAGCCTCTCGCACGCCTGCAAGAGGAGTAGAAGTGTCTGGAGTCCGTAGTCTGATACAACATCCATCGCCTTGGGGTGGAGGTTGACCTGTCCAAGTGCTGAATTGAATTTGAACTTGCGCAGGACAACGCGTAGGTTCGCCACGCTGGCCTCTGGAAGCTGGCTCCATGTCGAGAAACCAAATGGCAATTTCAGGCGTCTTGAGGTGTGGGTGGCCCAGATCTCAGCCCAGGTATCCATGCAAGAATCTACCACCTCAAAAGGTTGTGGCTGCTGGGTGTGCCCCAGCACCTCCTGCAGGTCTCAAGGCTTCGAAAAACGGCGCGCCTGTCTCGCTCCGTTGTTGAAGGATGCCATTGCCCACTCCGTCCATTCTGCCGTTCTGAATGCTCCAATTGCTTGGACCACCCTCTCCACTTTGTCGATGACGAACTGCGCAGTCTCAAGAAAACCGTCACAGCAGAACTGGTGGGAGAGGTCAATGACTCGAGCGCGTTCATCCTCGTCGAGGTGCTGCATGATCCATTTTGCCTTAGACGCTCTGTGGAAGAAACCCTGGAGGTCCCCTGTCTACTTCACAAATAGCTTGATCTCCTTATCGTTGGCAACCATGTCGTCAGTCATGATAAGCCCAGCGTCATATGCTCCAAAGGTAGATAGGGAGCGTGCCCAGCTTGAACAATTGTCAGTAGTGTGGTTGGTTGGCAGCATATGGCGTGGAAATTTACCTGGTACGTCAACATCAGTCTGGAGCCTTTCCACAGCCAGGATCATCCTCAGCCTCATAGCTCTCATGTGCCGAAACCAGCGCCCAATCAACTTGTAGGCCTGGAGCCTCTGAGATGGCTTGTTTTCAGGTGGTGCCACTTTCTTCCAAGGCCAAGTTGGTGGGCCCGCCCGTCCAATGTAACGTGCTCGGTCATGGCCCATTATATCATGCCTGTCCAATATCTCTTCTTCGATCGGCGTCAAGACAGCATCCCAGGCGTCGGCAAGGTTATCTGCATTTTCGGCCCTAGCAATGAGCTCCCTGGCCATGTCCCACCCGACGACGGGCGGGAACCTCGCGCATCCTGGCTTTGGTATCGTGTCGACGGACGCAGGCTGATCAGACACTCTCACCCACATTTCATGTTCTGCATCCTGCATCGGAGCCCTGAAAGGCACATGTGGAAACAAGTCCGAGTCTTCATGAACAAAAACTGTGCCTGCCCGGCAAGCAACCCGCGGATGCATACACATGTAGTCGTGCATGGCTCCAGGTTTCGCCTGCAGGCATGTGGGGCGATTGGGGTGGACGGCGATGCCCCCGATGGAGTTGAACCAATGCCGCAGGTCATCCACCTGCATGTTCCAGTCTCCCGCTAGCAGCCAAGGCTGCTCTCGGGCCTCCAGCTCACAGATATAAATGGCGACCTGCCGAAGAATCTCCACGTGGGTGTCCGAGAGGCCCTGGCCATCGTGCAGGTAGATTGATATCATGGTGATGCCATGCTTGATGCCCCAGTGCACGTGGGCCGCAAGGACCCTGCCTGGAACCAATTCGGCTGAAGACCTCCCTGGAGCGAGGGTCGCACGTACCCTGGACGGCGCCAGGATGGCCATACCTCCATGCGTTCCCCCTTTGGCTGACGGGTGGGGCTGGGGCCCAAAGGCCTGCAAAGCCTGCTCGAACTGCTTGGTGCTGGACATCGGCGAGTCGCTCTTGGTCCGCATGGTGTTCTTGCGCGCATATTTTACAAGACTGCGCCCACGGCAGTTTCAGCATCTCAATTAGCGGCCCATGCGATGCCACATTGGCCGTCACGACCGAGCTCGCGGTCCTGCTGCATGACGAGTCAGGATTGGACATTGCAACCGAGGCCTTCTCTGGTGTTGTTGGCCGCAGTAGTGCAGCACCTGTCGCCGGCTGAACCCCCATGGCGCAGACCGCCACCATGATGAGCCGCAAATACCTGCAGCTGGGGCCCTTGACCGCCCTATGGCCTGGCCCGTCGTAGTGGTCCAAGGGAGATCTTGAATGGCTCAGCATTCTGGGGCCCCTGGGAGGTCTGGTGGCCCTGTGGTTCCCAGGGCCCGTCTGACCAGCAGTCCCCACCAGGACATCGGCCCCATGGCCCCTTTTCATCCGTCAGGGTCCTACAGCCCCCGAGTGCAGGGGCAGCGCCGGCACTGGGAATGGCATTTGGCCTGCATATGATGTTAGACCTCCCAATTCTGCGGTGAATATTGGCCAAATTTCCAGCGTACATTGCGAGCCAGCTGATGCCGAGATACTCGAAGTAGACGTTGCTACTGACCATCAGCCGCATGATGTACCTTGCCAACCCAGCAAGTGGCGATGTATGAACCCATCCCAGGCTCGAGGAGCACCTGGGCATGGGATTTGATCCAGCACGTGGCGACTGAGCCTGCGATTGCCCAAACTGGCCAGCAGGACTTTGCGCTCTGACTGGCGACGAAAGAACCCTGCCCAGGCTCGAGGAGCACCTGGGCATGGGATTTAGTCCAGCACGTGGCGACTGAGCCTGCGTTTGCCAAAACTGGCCCGCAGGACTTTGCGATCTAACGCCTTGCAGAAACGTGCGTTCTAACGCCCGTTCTGACATCCGAAGCTGAAGCCCACGCAGTTCGCTGCAAACGTCATGAACTTCCCATGCAAGAAAATCCAGCACGCAACTAATAGTCATAGGTATGATGCCAACAATCCAGATGACGCTGACCTTATGACCGCGGCTGGGTCGAGGCTGTAATAAACCTCGTACTGGCACACGTCGCTCGCGGCAAACTCCGTGTGCACTGCGTCCTTGACATACGTTTTTCCAAAGCTGCATCGAGCCCAACATGTGGAGGAGATAGAGCTGTGGTCGATTGACCCAACCCTTATTGTGTCTTGCGCCGTTTGGCCAGAGCTTCAGCAGCTTCAGCATATCGCTTGCACATCTCACGCAACTGATCGTCGTCCTCAGGGGGCTCTTCATCAGTGCATGCCTGAAAGAGTTGACGCAAGCTACTAATATCATCGGTATCCATTGGCACAGGAACGCGCGCAGGTTCATCTTGTTTAGCAGCACGGTCAGGTCCTTGGGACCCCCCTGGTTGTTGGCCTGGAGGTCCTGGTTCGGCAGCTTGTTGTTGGGCAGACGCAGAGAAGGCTTTGGCTGCATCTGCTTTGGCCTGTGGCTGCCGAAGGGCCTCGAAACTGGACTTGGCCTGGTCCAGGAGCGTGGCGTCTGCCCCTGCGGATTCGAAAAGCTGGCCAAGCTTGTCAACGGGCAGGTCCAGGGCAGGCACCATGGTGTTGAGCGAGTACGATTCTGGAAGAGGCGTCGGCAGCTGTGCCGAGACCGCGAACCGCTGGTGCTCCAGCTCAGTGATGTCAGTAGCCAGTGTATGAATAGACTTCTTGACGCCTTCGATCTTGGCTTCGAGCTCCACCTTCTGGATCTCCAGATCTGCCAAGGTCACCTCCTGCTGCAACCTGCTCTTGAGCAACTCATCGATGCGAGTGGTGTAGTGGTGCATCTGGGCGGAGTGCGGCTTTGCTGCTGACGATCGTAGACTTCATCGCCGTTCGCTCAGCTTCCAATTGCTCTCGCGCCGCCACCACAGCAGGCTCAGTGAGGTTGCCCAGCGCCCAGAAGGTCTGGCTGATCTCATTGAGGCGCTTCTGGTCGGTGTCGGTCTTGTCACTGGTGTCCGTGTCCACTGTCGCCGCCAAACCTTGCTCACGAAGCTTTGCAATCTCAAGGTCCTTGGCCTTAAGCTGCTTGTCTCTTTCGACTGCATAGTTGGCGACCGCTGCCTTCTGCCTCTGCTTGTCACGTTCCAAGGCTGGGGCCCTGGCGCCGTCTGCAGAGGCTTAGGGCCTCCGAACACAGCTCCTTTTGTTGCATTGGCAGCTTGAGCAAGCATTGAGGTCACCTCTGTTCCACCACGTCTCACCTGTCCGCGGGTGAACACACCAGCGGCATAGCCACGGCGCAGCCCAGGCCTTGCGAGATCCGATCTTCGGCAAGCGCCCGCCATCCACCATGGGTCAGTAGCTGGAAACAGAACGAGATCGGGAGGTACGGTCCCGAGCGTGGAATGCGTTGTGAAGAAAGGCGGCACCTCCAGCCTGGGCAGGCTCTGGGGAGGTGCGGGAGCGGTGAGGGCCGTCTGTTTCCTCCTGCCAAAATGTCAAGTCCAAGCCAACGCTACGGACTTGAGCCAAAATGGCTACGGACACATTGTCTGCAAGGAGGAAACGAAGAGGACGAAGCGGAACAAAAACACCAAGGACGTTCCTCAGGGAACAACCATAATGAACTGTGGATTCGCTTCTTGGCGCGAGCTCCCTCAATCCCACGCCCCTTGGCGCTGATTTATTCCCACTGCCTTCTCCGTGGTTTGCCCACCCCCTCTCCTTCTCCTTCTCCTCCCTCCTCCTCCACCTCCACCCCCCCTCCCCTCACCAAACACCAATTTCCACCCTGCACGCCCAGCATTTCCCAGAACCCCCCAGTCAAGAGAGCGCTGTTCGAAACGGCTCGCGTGGACGCCCGATTGCTGGAGCCGCCGACCCCCAAACCCACCAAAAGGGTCGCGATCCGCGCCAGGGGCCTGGTAAAGGACCTCCGTGCATCCAGGGACCTCCGGAGACTTCCAAATGACGGGGGGGACTGCGACCCAAAGCCCAGACCTCCGCGGGCTTTTCGGCCAAACCAAAGATTGTTCCCTGACTCGGGGATGTACGATGGGGTGGCGTCCATTTGCGCCCGAATAGCCCACCTGGAGATTATCCCTGAGTTCGCTTGCTTTTTCTGAGCAGCCATTGTTTGGAAGGGGAACTCGGGGGAAGGGGGCGAGAAATCGCCGACGCACAGAGGCCTCTGGAGGCCTCTAGACGTCGTCATCGTCGTCGTCGTCCCTAGTCACTCTCAGACGCCGCGCAAATCGTTGCGTTATCAAACCAATCCTCCCCACCTGGGGGACAGGCCGTTATCGCCGGAAGATAGAAAAACGGGATCCCGGTAGCTGGAACGTGACGAGCATCGCTGGTGTGCAGAATGAGCCGGGAAACATGCGAATACGAAGAGCACCATGTCGGAATTCGGGCACGCGCGCGCGGCACACACAGCAGCAAAGTGGGCGGAACGGGGGAGTGAGGAGAGGCATAGAAATCCATGCGAGCAGTAGCGCATGCAAACGAAAGAAACAACACGTCAACAACAATACGCATCATGTCGTCCCCACGACGGGAAAACGTATCTCCCACTGGCCTCCTGAGGAACATCTGATATAACGACGATCGTGGCGCGATCCGCAACATACTCCGCACCTTCGCTTTCGTTCCTGAACTTGACTTATCCATGCACGCACTCATCCCACACAACCCTTCCATCTTCACCTCTTCCTCGCCTTTCTTCCAATTCTCAACCTGATTCCCCTCCTCCCATCTCCACTCCCTCAACGCTCCTTGCACTGCGGCCCTACAAGCCACTGCCCACAGCCTCTGCAATTACGTACTATGAATACGACTCTCCCCTCTCCCCCGACGACGTGTTGAGAAAGGCCCAGAAGTCGCCAGCTAAAACGAGCAGGTTAACCTGGATTCCTGCTCTCAACGCGGCCGCCCCCCTCGCCCCCCCTTGACGAAAACAAGAACACTCTACCAATGAACTGCTGAGGCGGAGGACGGGGGGAGGATGAGGAACGACAAACACCTGAACTTTTGTTGTGCGAATGGGAAAACTTTGGGGCATCCCATGTGGATGTGGCAGGTCTCGTGGACGCCTGCCCAGAATATATTCGGCTCTGCCCCAGGCTGCGCAAGACGCGCTCAGAGTCGGAAAATGAAATAATGCAAGAGAATCGCCCGAGGCGGAAACGAGCGACAAAGACTGTCTCAGAGAATAGTTGGATTCGGTTTGTGTTCGGGATTCGATATTCTGCTATGTATGGGGCCAGCGGGGCCAGGCGGACAGCGACGACGACGACGACGACGATGGCGACGAGGACCAGGGGGAGGAGAAATCGACGACGACGGTGTGGAGGGCCAACACCCCCATCTGTCCTATCGGCCCAAGCCAAGAGCAAGGGGAGAAGGAAGAAACGTATCGGAGTCACATTGGAGCCATATTGACACAATCTTGGGGTCAACTAGGGTTCAAAAAGGTCATATTGGGGCAATCTCGAAATCGTCTCGGACTTATGGGTTCGTTCTGGGGCCACCTCGGAATAAAATCGGGGTCGCGCGGTAGTCTTCGTCCAGTCGGAAGACAATGGGTTCGTCTCGGTGTTCTCGTGGGGCCGCAGGGTTGCCCTGGGGTCGTATTGGGGCCATTGCTCAGCAGAAGTGGGCATCTTGGGGCGACAAGGGTAATCTCGTGATCCTTTCCAGAACTCTTGTTGGGTCCGACTGGGGATCATCTTTCCGTTGCTGCCTCTCTCGTTGTTGTTGCTACAGATGTTGTTGTTACTGCTGGCGTTGATGCTGCTGGTGCTGCCCAGGCTGCCCGTGGTGCTGGTGCTGGTACTGTGCAAAATTTCGGGTCATCTTAGAGCCTTCTTGGGGCCCTTTTGTGGCCCTCGTGGGCCTCCTGGGTCGCTGCGGGGGCCTTCTGAGGGCCTGAAGACGCAACCGAGGGGGCGAAGAACTCAACGCACACTTAACACAAACCGCCTCCTCATTGGAGAGCGCCTTGTGTTAAATTTGTGTTAAAACATTTGGCCCTCTTGGAGCCATCTTGGGTCCCTCTTGGGGCCCTTCTGGGCCCTCTTGGGCCCCTGCGGGAACCCTCTGAGGGCCTTGAAGAGGCCTGCAGGTGGGCCAACAATTCAACACACATGTAATTAAGACAAACCGCCTCCTTATTGGAGAGCGTCTTGAATTAAATTTATGTTGAATTTCGTGCCCTCTCAGAAGAACCCCAAGAAGGCCCAAGAGAGACCCAAGAAGGCCCCCAAAGTGATTTTTGTTTAGCTTCCACGCGGGGGGGGTCACCATGTATCCGCTGTTTGTACAGATGCTTCTTCTTGCAGGGCTCGGCTTGAGGCTCGGAGCGCCTTCAGGAAGGTTCCAACCTGAGGTATTCAAAGACTTCGCGTGAGCTTCGAGTGCGATTGCGCTGCTCCAAGACGGTTCCGAGATGGCCCCAGAGCGCTCCAAGACGCTCACCATGTCTTTAAGACGCCCAGAGAGACCCTGCAGACGCCCCCGGGGGGCTCCAAGAGGACCCCCTCGGGGGCTGCGCGAGGCCAGAACCGTAATTTGTCTTTTGGTTTTCAGGCGGATTTTAGCGTTCTCGTTTTTTCTGGATTCCACTGCTCCAAAATGGCCCAAGAGGCCGCCAGGGTCGCCCCAAGACGGCCAAAGAGGTCACCGAAAAGGGCTCCAAGACGACCCAAGATGGCACCAAGACGACCCATGAGGCCCACAATGCGGCCCAAATAGCTCCCAGGACGGCCCTAATAGGGGACCCAGAGGGCCACCGGAACTCTTGTGAAGTGGCGTGGGGGCATGCGGACAGCCTTCGCAAATAGACGCGGCGCCGGGGTCACCATGTATCCGAACATTGTACGAATTCGTACATGTCTGAGACGATCGCCGAGCCTCTTGGGAGCCCTTTTGGTGGCCTCTTGGGCCCTGCTGGAGGTTTCTTGGAGCATGATAAGGGGCCTCTTGGGCGCCACTTGAGGTCTGTTGAAATTATTGGTGGCTTCTTAGGGCTTCTTGGGGGGGCCCTTTGAGGGCCTCTTGGGGGCCTGGTGGGGCCCCAAGAGGGCCCCGAGAAGACTCCAAGAGGGTCCCGAAACGTGTCCAGGTCCAGGACGGTTTGGGAGCGCTCAAGGAGCCCCAAGAGGGCCCCGAGAAAACTCCACGAAGGTCCCGAAAAGTCTGCCTCCGTGCAACCCGGAGCAGCACCATCTCCGGGTGACCCGGAGACCTCTCGGGGCCCTCTTGGAGCTTTCTTGGGGGCTCGAAGACGGTGGTGGGGAGGGCGGGAGGGTGGGGGGGATCTCCTATAGATGCGGACGCGGAGGAGGGGGTGGCTTACACCACATCTTTTGCACAACATAGGCACCACGTAGACTGCACAACATATATACCACAACATGCATTGCACCATTGAAGTTGCATCATCGCATGTTTGGAGGGCGAGAATGGCCTGATCCCTGGTTTCTGACCCCTGGAATGGAACGCGATCCCTGTCGGAACGGGCGGCTCCAATTCAAATCATCGCATGTTTGGGCGGCGAGACCAACCTGATCCCTGGCTTCTGGTCCCAAGAATAAAACGCGATCCCTGTCGGAACGGGTGGTTGCAAACCGAAGCGACACATGTTTGGGCGGCGAGGCCGGCCTGGTCCCTGGTTTCTGATCCCCGAAGTGGAATGCGATCCCTCTCGGAGCGGGCGTTTCCAATACAAATCATCACATGTTTGGGCTGCGAGAACAGCCAGAATGGAGCAGAATCCCCAGAATGGAGCAGATCCCAGAATGAAGGAGGAGGAGGAGGAGGAGGAGGAGGGAGGAGGAGGAGGAGGAGGGGGAGGGGGAGGGGGAGGAGGAGGAGGAGGATCGAATCCAACATCCTTGGCATCTGATCCCCAGACTGGAGCACGATCCCAGTCGGAACAGGCGGTTCCAGTAGAAGCCATCGCATGTTTGGGCGGCGAAATCTGACCAGGCGCTACCAGTAGAAGCCATCGCATGTTTGGAACAGGCGCTACCATGCGATCCCTCTCGGAACAGGCGCTACCAGTAGAAACCATCGCATGTTCCAGTAGAAACCATCGCATGTTTGGAACAGGCGGTTCCAGTAGAAACCATCGCATGTTTGCGCTGATACCTAGTATCTGATCCCCGGAATGGAGCGCGATCCCTGTCGGAATGCGCGCGCCCTTTGCTATCCACGTGAACCACAATTTTTTCTCGGAAGAGGGAGGGGGGGCATGCCCCCCCCCCCGCCCTTCCGACAAAAAAACTTTGGTTCACGCGGATAGCAAAGAGCGCGCGCGTTCCGACAAGGATCGCGTTCCATTCCGGGGATCAGAGACCAGAGATAAGGCCATTGTCGCCGCCAAAACATGCGATGGCTTCTACTGGAACCGCCTGTTCCAACAGGGATCGTGTTCAATTCCAGGGATCAGATACCAAAGATCAGGCTGGTCTCGCAGCCCAAACATGTGATGATTTGTATTGGAAACGCCCGCTCCAACAAGGATCGCGTTCGATTCCGGGGATCAGAAACCAGAGAACAGGCCATTCGCGCCCACCAACCATGCGATGATTTGTCTAGCAATCTATGAAGTGCACAACTGGTTGGGCTCAGTCGACGTGGTGCAACCTAAACGGTGCAATGCATGTTGTGGTATGTATGAGTCGCAGTCGACGTGGTGCAATCTACGTGGTGAAAAATATGTGGTGCGCAATTTACGTAGTACACTCGGTCTGGTGCAATGGCGTGCGCGTCTACCCTTAAAATGCCGATGCATAGCACGATAGTCCGATAGCAACCGCAACACCGAACGGCAGCAACGACAACAGCAGCAACATCGGCAACAACAACAACAACAACCAACAACCAAAGCAGCACCAACAACAACATTCTAAGACTGTTCGCTCTTACTTGCCCGCGTGCCATTCAAAACGAGTTCCCCACACCCTAGATACCCGCCATTTTTGTGACGACGACAGCTACTACTACTACTACTACTACTACTACTACTACTACTTCTACTACTACGACTACGACTACTACGACTACTACGACTACGACTACGACTACGACTACTACTACTACTACTACTACTACTACTACTACCACTACTACTATAGCTACTACTACTACTACTACTACTACTAATACTGCTACTACTACGACTACGACTACTACGACTGCTGCTACTACTACTAACTCCTACTACTCCTGCTACCCCGACTACTCCTACTCCTACTACAACTACTACGACTAAGACTACCACTACTACTACTACTACTACTACTACTACTACTACTACTACTAGTAGTACTACTGCTACTACTACTACTACTACTACTACTACTACTACTACTACTACTACTTACTACTACTACTACTACTACTACTACTACTACTACTACTACTACTACTACTACTACTACTACTACTACTACTACTGCTACTACTACTACTACTACTACTACTACTACGACTACTACTACTACTACTACTACGACTACTACTACTACTACTACTACTACTACTACTACGACAACTACTCCTCCTCCAACTACTACTACTACTACTACTACTACTACTACGACTACTACTACTACTACTGCTACTGCTACTACTACTACTACTACGACTACTACTGCTAACTC